ATATATAAAAAATAATTTTCATTACAAGATGACAAGTCAAAAATCATAGTCTGGCCTATGTAGATTATTTTGATGAAAACAATGTATTGCAAGGAGATATGCTTTTTTAACAATATTCTTGTCCCTTTTGAAAAGGTTTCACATCTATTTCTTCAACAATTAAATCATTATTTTGAAAAGAGTAAAATAACTTTGACAAATATTGTCTCTTGTGCAATAGACAGGGTGTCAGAAATGGTTGGTCACTACAAAAGTTTTTGACATATTTAACCCATTTTTTTCCTGGCAGTCATTTAAATGGCACTTTTTTTCCATCTAAGCTATAATTATATTTTTTGAAAGTGAAAATTTCATTGAAATATGTTTGAAAATTTCCAAATTTTAATCTGAAATCAATAAAATATTGACTTTAAGTAATATGGTCACAATATATGGAAAAAAGAAAGTGTCAATTAAAACTGATGCCAGGAGGATATGGACTAAATAAAGAGATTCTCATTTTATGTATTCATTGTATTCTAACACTTTCACCCCAGCCCCTCAACCTCCTGCGTCTTACTCTCAGAGTTGAGGTGTCTACTCAGTCCTAACCAAACTTAAGGGAGTGGCCATAGGACACCTGAGCATCCGTAGATCATTAGACCGGTCCACTGGTTATTCTGCTTCCTGCCCACATTGTGATTTGTTTGATCCAGGAAGCAGAAACAGTGTCCGTCCATTCACGATTGACGGAAGATGTACACACGGCTGGGGAGTCTGCGCTAAGAAATTTAGAATGCAGCAAAAAAAAAAATTAATATCTGCAGAAAACCGGACAAACATCGATTCAATGGGTGAATTGGTAATGTCTTTTATATAGCAGAAAAATATAGTAGAGAAGAGAAACGGGTTACAGAAAAGAAAAGTAAAAAAAAAAAAAACTCATACACTGGATTCTAGACAGAGAGAGAGAGTATATATGATTATCTTGTTGTTAAATAATCTCAGAACGATATATGACTCTTGCGATGGAGGGATAAAGATTTCTGTGCAGGGCTTAAAGTTATAGTGGTGTTCCTTCTGCCAACACTCACCCAGGCCAATTCTCTCTTCTCTCTTCAAGAATTTTCTCCCGTCTTTCTTTTGCAGCATAACTATGCATTTATATAGATAAACCAGGCTGGTTATAACTGACCCTCGTCCCTACTACTTCGCACGCACTTATCACAGGGTTCTGGCTGCTTCAACCAAAATCATGTGAATTCCAAAGTTTCTTCTAGCTTACTCAGCTCTATTTCAATTTTTAATTAATAAAAATTATTTCAACCATTTCCATTGTCAATGGGTACAACTTCTGCCCTAGATCAGATTTCCTCATCAGTAAACAAAATGCTCTGATATAATTTTGCTATTCAAATCTTCTCCAATTGTGTGTGTGTGTGTATGTGTGTGTTTCCCAGACTCTCTCTCTGTCACAGTATGATCCATAGGCAGCATCTTGATCATTTTTGCATTTTATCTCTGACAGTTAAAAGTACAATTAACAAGATGCTGCAAAAAATGATTGACTATTCAGGTAAATTTATAAGAACTATAATGAAACATGTCCAATTGATTTTTCCCACAAAAGTCAGCTGACTATCAAAAGGACAATACTTGACATGTTTTGTGGAATTATATAACAAGGTTTTACCGTTTTTCCAGAATGCCAATGAACAAGTATCATAGATAAAAAACAAGAAATAATTTTTTTTATTTACTTGATATGTTCACAAAGTTAAATGAAGTTACATTTTTAAGAAAAAATAAAGTTGATTGTATTTAAAAAAAATAATGTCATTTCTTTATTTCTTGAGAAACTAAATTTTTTCAAAGAAATATTATGAATCAAGAATATAAGATTTTTTCCTAAGTTACTTTCAATCAAAGATGGTCTTACAATTAGTAACTTGGAAAACTATAACATTTGTGTTGATGTATTCAAAGTTGATATGGAAAACTATTTCTAAGACATTATCAGTTTTGTTGCAGCACTGCTTCTAGTTAAACTAAAAGCAGTAGCATTAATATTTTGCACATGTAAATGATGGATGTGAGGAAATGGAAGACAATTTCAATAAGGCAAGATTTTATATTTTTGTTTTTATACCCTTGAGTAACAAGGAGAGAAAATACATTATGCAAAAGAGTTAGGAATTGTGTTTGGTGATATACATGTATGAAGAGTTCAGTAACTAAGGGGAAAGAAATCCTCATGTCCAGAAAGGCCTCAACATTGTCACTTCTACCACATAGAAAGAGAGAAAGAGAATGAAGACCGGAAGTGTCCCATTTTTATAGGTATTTTTTTATGTGCTTAAATTAATAAGTTCTTGGCAAAACTGACAAAGCTATGTGATTATAACCCACAACTGAAATGCAGATGCATGAATAGAGGCTCCAGTTAATTTATGTATATTTGAAGTGAAAGTTACTTAACAGGTGGACCTACTGCAATTTGAGTAAAGCAAAGCAAAATTTAATGAAGACAGATGTCTATCCCCAAATTGTATCCACATTAATGGAATAAGATTCACCCATTATTAAAAGTTTTTGCTGTTTTATACTTAATTGTAATTTGGATTTAGCCAAATAAAAAAGATTCTTACCACAGAGAGAAATCACATAGAGTGTGGCAGAAAGAAGAAGTGGTTACCTGTTTTTGTGTGCAATATAAATATATATATAAAGGATTTCATTAGAATGCATCAGGCACAATTTAAATTAATTAAATAGTTTTTAATATCAATCTGTAATTTTAATTTCATTTTATATCATTAGGTAAATTAAAAGTTATTGACATTAAAAAACATCAATAGGGACACTTGATGGCTTGACCCCTTAGAGTAAGTCACCACTAAATTCCAATTTAAAAATAGGAAGAAATGGTTTTTAAAGATGAGTGAATTGGTGTAGAATATAACTGACCAATAAATGAGATACTGAAAACAAAGAAATTCACTCAGGGTTACCCAGATCAAGAAAGAACCTTGGTCAAAACCTTGTGATAATAACAACAAAGATGAGGACAATAGTCCACATGTAAATAATATAAATAATGATAACTCCTCATCTCAGAAATTCAAACAGAAAGAAAAGAAAATATTTCAAATGAAAATAGTTCTTCTGCCAGTGATAAATTCCCAAGATAAACACAAGGAAAAGCTGCTTATGTTCCGCTATAGAAAGCTGATATTTTGCAGAACTGTCAGACATTCTGTGATAAAAAGCTTGTAGGGGTGGGGATATGTACCTTTGGAAAATTCTTTGTAAATATGAAGCTGAAACAACAAGAAATTACATACTCAAGTCACTTCCCTCTGTCTTTTATACAAATATTTTCATGGCAGCTGTATGAGCTTTTTTCATTAATACCTCAACTGCATGAATTTAACTGCGATACTAGGTTAGCAACTAGGTCTTACCATTTTTTCATTGAAATATCTAGATGCAATCATCTTTTCTATTTTAAGAGTGTCTTTTCTCACACTTCTGCCACATACAATCTTCAAAAATTTAAATGCAACATCATCATTATCTGTCCTCCTGAATCCTGTTCCTTTATTGTCCTTTTCCTTACCTCTCCTCACTAAAGTCTTCTGATTCTCTTTCACTCCCTGTAAAACCCTGAATCCTAGTGGCATTTTTTTTCTTGCTTGAGATTAACAAAGAAAAAACAATGTCTATGCAAGCCATAAAAGTTTCTGTCCATTCTTTATAATAACTTACAACACCCCACCACATTTTAGCTAAACAGACAATAAAAAACAATTTTAAAACAATGGCCACAATATTTACTTTTACTTATCATCTCTGACTAATCTGATTAACAGCTTAGAGAACATTGATTACAGAATTTGCTTCCAACATTCAAAATAACCAATTCCCTGACCAGTGTACTTACAAAACTTGGCAAATGCTAAGTGACAGGACAGACTGCTTCTTTTTTCTGGATTCTGCTTTTTTAGTTTGTTGATGTAAATCCAACATGCAAAATTTTCCATTTGGTAATCCACATCGACATACAATGCCGCCATTGATAATATTTTCACTACTTTTGCTTTTTCTCTTATATTGAAGAAAATTCTTTTTCTTCTTCCATTCAGGATTTTTCCAACACAACATTGTCATTGGACACATGAAGTAAAAGTGAAGACTTCAAAACATGTACAGTAATCAAAAGTCGCTGATATCCAGAGTTTTTTGGGTTTTTTTTTTTTCTTTCCTTTCCCAAGCAGGCAGCCTCAAAAAGAATGGAGCAATAGGAAGAAAGTTGAGACGACAAAATGAAACTTATATAAATCAAACAATAATAAACAGCAAAAGTGAATGATGACAGTTTTGAGTGTTTGACTGGATGCATGCGAGGGGAGGCGTGGAATGATTTAAGACAGGTTGTCAAGGCTGCTTTTTTAATCAGCAACAAAAAAACGGAACAGAATTTATCAAGACATTCCGCTGACTCACAAACTTAAAAAAAAACAGTCCCATAAATCTATTCCTTTGACTTCATTTTGATAAACTGCAGTTAGGAGGTGAGTAAGTCTCAAGGAAGTTCTGAGAGTGCTACCACAAGAGACGCTTGTGACAGAGAAAATGGAGTAGAACTGCTTATCATTTCCTAATCACCATTGCTGCAATACATGTCAGTTCAACTTAGAATAAGACCAGCTGGAACAAATTCAAGTTTTAATATTTTAACAGCACCATTTATAATCCAAATGAATTAACATAATTGTGGTCATTGGTGTAAATCAAATTACCAAATGGACATCAAGTCCACTCTTCTGAGGAGCTGTGACATGATTACCGAGTGGGCTGATTTCTAGCAAAATTATTTTGACTTAACAAATCATTTGCTTTGTACAGGCAAAGAGGAATAAGTTTCTCGTTGATACCAAAATGAGGAGAACTTATTTGAGAAGAATAAAACCAAATTCTAACAAATATGTTTTCACACTTTCCAAGTCGCTTACAGCCACATCACATTGATACAGGGTTCCTGTACGATCACCAAAGTTAAGCAACATCGATACTGGTCAGTACCTAGATGGGTGACCTCTTGGGAATACCAGGTGCTATAAGATTGGATGTACAGGTGAGGTAATGGATAATGGCTCAAAATTGTTAATCGGAGAGCCAAGTTCTAATTCCAATTGAGTTCATTATATTTACTTACATGCAAATACTCTTGGGAAAGTTATAAATCCACCTGTCTTCCAACTGCTTAATTACTAAGACTTATATCACTAAATCATTATTATCTCAAGAAAACAAAATTCTTATGATCTAAAAATATTTTCTGGCTTTAAATAACCTGTAATGGGTTGATAATCCATAGAAAATGAATGAATGAATCAATTAAAAACACTTTTCAAATAAATTCTTGCTACTAAAAATCAATATGGCTTCATGTTTTACTTCTTGTAATCAAAATTCTGAACTGCATTTTCGGAATTCACTACATTCTCATAGATAAAACAAAAACAGGTGAAAAGTTATGTCAAAATTGAATGGAATGTTGTTATTATTCAATTAATTTTTGAACTAGCTTTCTTGTTTTTGGCATTTTAACAGAACGTTTTCAGCTGGGTTTCCTAAAGCAAGTATTGCATCCAATATTTTTTGGGGAATGTTAAATGAAACCCTTTTCTTATATCTGCATATATGCAAGTAGCATTATGATTAGTAGCAAGGAAATTAGAATCAGTGTGCAGGGTTCAAATTCTGACCAAGTTTGTTTTGTTGGCTCTAATGCTCTTGGAAAAGATATAATCCATCCTCCTTCATCTATGAGTTAAACAGCTGGACAGACTGGCCTCTCTTGCCTTAGCTAGCAGCCAAAGAGTTTTCCTGAATTCAAAACCCTCATAAATAATAGGAGAGATTAGGCTCTTTAACTTTGGAAGGGCAATAAGTCTAGAAGAACAATGCTGAATTCAAAACCAGCCTGAAAATGAACGGGCTCTATCAGACTATCTTGCTCTATACATAACCACTGCTGCTGAGGCTACAATACATGTGCTACCCTTATGATTAATATGCTACAGAACACTTGATACTAATCAATTTTGTCTAGGAGAAAATAATGTTTAACCCCCTTGCTTTTTGCAATATCCTTCATTTACATTATTTACACATGAACTATTGAATCCATTTTTGTTGTTATTACAACATTTCACCTGTTGTATCCTCCAGTCTTCATCAGGTGATTGTCAATCCAGATAACCTTCAGGGAATTTCAAACTGAACCATTTATTTAATTTACAGAGGTAGATTGTTCTTGTTCCACTCTCCATGAACAGAGATATCTCATCTAATTCTTATTTAGTACTTCTCAGTTATTGCTTGCCCTGTTCCCATTGAGTACTAGTTCACACTGCCCAGCCCAGGGATTGACTTGCAATTACTATGTCCATAGTAATATTAACATACAGTTACTAAACTACATTGTATATGTTACAAATTCAAATTAACAAAAAAAAGATGTAGCTTAGTCAGTGGTTCATTTATTTCTCAAGAGTGATCAAGGATTGCAAAAGCTTTCCGAAATATATCTGTTTTAACAATAAATTATCTATTAGAATTACAAATTTCTATTATTTTTAATTCATCTTGCTAAACTGGTTCACCTAATAGAGGTGGACTAATGTACTAACAATAACAACCAGTCATTTACATATGTAAATTTTGTTTACCACTGCTTTTAGTTCAATTAAGAACAGTACCACAATACCTCTTGTAGAATTATGCGGATGCATCTAAAAACATATTTGCACAAGATAGTAAGTGATGTAATGGAATAACCTGTCACCCCCATAAGTGACTACACTATAGGTAGTAACTACCTATAAGTATCTATAAGTCAACAGAGTCTAACTGGGATCTGTTGAGTACAACTCAGACTTACACGAGAAATACCAACCTTCCAATAGTAGCACTCACTACTGGATTGACTTGTGATGACCTTGTGCATAACTGTTACCTTTATTCTTATTGTACTGGTTTTTACAATAAACCTTTACTTATTTAATCCACCTTATTTTTCAAGTATATATTCCTATTAGCATGGAATATAACAGAAAGAAACATGTCATTAAATAAAAATTGTGCCTTAAAAAAGAACTGTTACTTTTCAAAATAAGCAAATATCTAATGTTTAACTACCTGTCATGCAATAAAAATTTATTCCCTCCCTATCCTATTTCCTCTTTCTTTGTGATCTTCACCACAACTTGGCAATTTCAGTTGGAATATTTCTAACCAGAAAGAAAAAGGGAAAAAAAGAAAGAAAAGTTAAGGGAAATAGAAAAATTAAAGAGAAAGCCTTTTTTTTCTACTATTTTTGCTTTTCTTAAGTTAAATCCTTTTGTTTTAAAGACATTAGAAAAAACTGACTTTTTCATCCCAAACTACACGCTGTAAATTTACCTCTGGTGAAATTTCATTGAACAACAGCCGTGATTTTGTGATGCTCAGATTGGGGCTGAACATATATCACATTTTTCCTGAGTGTACAATGAGAGGAAAAGTTATAAGAATATCACTGAAGAAAAAAATAAAACCCATTGCTGTCCATCAGACTATTTCAGCTGCATTTTCTACTTTTTCTACCTCTGAACCTCTTCTTGACGCTGCTCAGTCTTCCAAATATAACTCAACACAGCCTGTAACTGTATGCCTCCTCTTTTACTGAGACTGATCAGTCAACTGCAAAAAAGTTGCAATTCCCTTCATCTTCTTCCAAAAAAAAGATAATTTTTCTTGAGAAATGACTCAAAAAAATACAAATGGCTTCACTTTTCAGATGAGAAATTCATGCACTGTGACATTTGTAATAAATATAACAAAATATACATATCTATGCAACTTTCAGCACTCCACCCTCACTCGCCATGTTTAAGCAAAGAGCATCAGTTTTGCTTCAACATTCCTGCTCTGCAGAAAAAAATTAGAACAAAATAAGGTAAAGTTGGACACTCAGCAGTACAAAGCAGTTGTGATGCTGTTAAAAAACCACTTACTAGATAATCCAGAAGGGAGTCCTTTTGTCAAAGTTTGAGCTGTTACACAGTTTTCTGACAGAGTTTACTGCCCCAGATCTCTTACATTTACAGCAAAAAGCAATAGCATACAGTTCAGTTCATAATATACAGATGAGGAACTGCTGTTGTGTATGGCAGACAATGTGTATGCAGCTCTAAAAATGATGGTAAATGAATCCCTATTCATGACTATTCCCATAGATGAATCTACAGTCATAACCAACCACAAATATCTTGTTGCATATGCAAAAATTATTGATCCTGAATCATTTCAACCAAGCACTCATTTTATTCTAAATATAGAGTGTTTTTATACAACAGGTGCAGGAATTGCTAAATTTTCCAGGAAGATATATCAAAACTGGAAATCCCATTAACCAAAGTTATGAGCATGGGATCAGATGGGGCTACAGGGAGAAGCAAAGACTACAAGTATATTGCTTAAGTCCAACCCCACATGATGAATGTGCACTGTGTTGCCCCTTCCCTGGTCTTGTACACAACTCAAGCAGCAGTGTCAATAGCAGATCTCAAAGAGCATCAGCATATACTGAGTGATCTGTTTTATTAGTCCTGTGCTAGTCCCAAATGAGCAGCCTGAATAAAAAAAAATATACAATAACTGCTGGAATATCCAGTGCTCACTTACAAAGAGCTGTATTCCATTCGATAACTATTGTACTACAATGCTCTTCAGTCTGTACTCAAGTCAATTGATAGACTGCTGATATACTTCACTGAAGAGTTCCAAGATCTCAGCAAAGACCCAAAGATAAATAACTTCACTGTTCTAATGAAGGATGTCATGGCCCCTGTTACACTTTTATCCCAGTTCCTGCAAACAGAAAATATGGGGGTGGCTTTAATAAAAGTAAAGATAGATATTGCCATCAACAACCTGGAAAAGATCAAGGAAATGACATCTCCGAACATGACAGTATTAGCCAGGAATATTCAGGACAACATTAGAGAAAGGTGAGCTTCAAATCACAACTGTGTATTGAATTTATCAAAAACTTGATAAGTAACATACATCCCAGGTTTCCAAACACTGCTCTGTTATGTGCATTTTATTTAAGTCTCCATCCCATTTGCTTTATCTGTGAGGATGAAATTAAGGTTTATGGAGGAGGAGGAGTTGGAAATTCTAATTGCCCACTATAGGCACAAGCAAACCTACAAATGGATGGAGAGGATTACCAGATGACCATCCAGTCCTTCATCAATGTTGTTCAGTCTCAACTGGAGTGGGACCTGCTGAAGTTGTCAAAGCACAGCATTACCCCAGATGCAGCATGTGGAAGCTTTGGGAATTGGTAATAAAATATTACCTAAAAAGACTTCCTGAATCTCACCATACTTACTCAACTCGCCACTGCCTATGAGGGTTCCCTGATGAGAACAGACTGTCATTGGAACATCAAGAGTAGCTTCTTAAGGTCAACCTGAGTCCCAAAAGGTCAGAGTTCCCTTTTGACAAGGCACTAGCCAAATGGAAAGGAGTCAAGCAGATAAAGTACAAGTAATCACTGACAAAATCTATTGAGTTTATTCAAATTAATCTGCTCATAATACACCACAAATATACCTGCATCATTTGATCTTAACATACTTTCTGCTGTTTTAGCTAACTTTCATTGTTGTGCTAAATGTTTCAAAGGTTAATTTTTCCATCAGTTAAAATCACATTTGATTTAGCTGATTACCTTCAGACTAAAAGATCTTGGTGACAGTTTGTAGACTATGTGAAGGTGATGATAATGCTTTGTTCGGGTGTTAAAATCAGCAATTTATTTTGGTGATACAGTCACCATTTGGTTTTTATTTGGATTTGTGCAATGTTTTGTTTACATGCAATATACTCACCTCTATTTTATTTGATAATTTATTTTGGTGCTATTTATGTTGATACAGAAAGATTTTCTTTGAAATTTATACAATACAGACATAAAAGTTGGGGTCATCACTGATTAATTACTCTCATAGTTCTAAGCTGGCTCAAGGGAGATTACTCAAATGTTTAATTTGCATTTTGA